AGTGTTTTAGCTTTGATTTCCGTTTGTGACTTCCCTATCTGGGTTGATATCTGGTTGCTCTGTCCTTGTTCTCATCTTTGGCTGTTATCTAATATTACTGATTTTCTAACCGGAGGACTCCCTTTAGTATTTTTTGTAATTTTGGTTTGGTTTTTGCAAATTCCCTAAACTTCTGTTTATCTGGAAATGCCCTACTTTCGCCATTATATTTGAGAGACAGTTTTGACGGATGTATAATTCTTGGCTGGTAGTTTTTTTCCTTCAACGCTTTATATATGTCATCCCATTGCCTTCTTGCCTGCATGGTTTCTGCTGAGTAGTCCGAGCTTATTCTTATTGACTCTCCTTTGTAGATGACTTTTCGTTTATCCCTAGCCGCTCTTAAAATTCTCTCCTTAGCTTTGGTTTTGGCAAGTTTGATTATAATATGTCTTGATGACTTTCTTTTGGGATCTACCTTATGTGGGGTTCGATGAGCATCTTGGATAGATATCTTCTCATCTTTCACAATATCAGGGAAGTTTTCTGCCAACAAATCTTCAACAATTCTCTCTGCATTTTCTGTTATCCCCCACTGCTCTGGTACTCCAATCACTCGTAGGTTATTCCTCTTGATAGAGTCCCACATAATTTTTAGGGTTTCTTCATTTTTTTAAATCCTTTTATCTCATTTTTCCTCAAATAAGTTGGTGTCAAGTGCTTTATCTTCAGTTTCACTAATTTTGACTTCCATTGTCTCAATTCTGCTCCTATGACTTTGTATTGAGGTGTCTAATTCTGAAATTTTTTGTTAATCTTGTGGATTTCTGATTGCTGTCTCTCTATGGATTCTTGCAGCCTGTTAAATTTGTCATTATGCTCTTCTCTAATATTTTTAATTTCCTCTATTTCGTGTTCTGTGTTTTGCTAATTTCCTTCCTAATTTCTTGAAGAGTTCTGTATATTAATCTTTTGTATTCTGCCTCTGGTAATTCCAAGAAATTTTCCTCTTCTGGAAAATTTCTAGATTCTTTCTTTTGGGAGCTTGCTGAAGCCATCATGGATTGCCTCTTTATGTGATTTGATATTGACTGTTGTGTCGGAGCCATCAATAAGTTATTATATTTATTTATTTTATGTTTACTTACTGTATCCTAGCTTCTTGTTTTGTTTTGATATGCCCAAATAAGTTGCTCGTATGAGCTAGTTTGATTATTGGCACCTTCGAAGCGCTAATGTCCTGTCACCAGGTGGTTAGATCTGTTACTAGGTACATGAGCTCAGGAGTCCACCCACTCCTCCTGTATGGATTCAGCTCAGGTGCCCAGGTAGATAGCCACCAAGTGTGTGGTGTAGGCTCTCACTTACAGTCCTAGATAGGCATGGGTGATTGGTGTAGGCACAGACATCTGGCTGCAGTAGGGGGACACACTCTGAGGAAGGCAGAGGGCTGATGGCCACCCCCTAGTGTCCAGGAGGAAGGCATGTCCCTGTTCCCTACAGCGCGTAGGTAGGTGGGTTTTGCAGCCAGACTATGAGCACCTAATGACGTTGGCTGTAAGGACTGGGGGGCACCTCGTATTCATGGGCCCCTATCACAGGTGGCTAGGTGGTGTGGGTGGAGCCACCAGTCCTCAGACCCCTGTGTGGATAGTTGAAGACCCTGTTTAATGGGTAGAACAGTGTCAAATATCAAGAACCTGCCACTTCACAGGTGAAACATTTGAAGTTAGGGGTCCAGTATGTATCCTGTTGTACTGCAATAATGAGGGCCTATACTGTTGAGATGGGCCCACACAAGTCTATGCTGGTGGAAAGGCACTCAAAGTCTGTGGGTCCCTTACGCCTGTGCCTAGGCAAAGGAGCTGTGCCTATCCTGGGTTCCTGGCTTAGGGGAGCGGGCAGTTTATTTTTTCCCTGTTTGTTAATTTGTTCACTCTCCAAGGCAGGGAGAATGGTTCTGGGTGTGTGACGGATCTTACTTCCGGCCCAGGGGACTCGGCAATTGCTAAAGCCAGTCCGGGACCCAGTGCAGAGCGGGGATCTGGGAGGTAAATGGGAGAGAGGTTTTTCCCTAAGGGGGGTGTTTTTGATCCACGTGTGGTAAGCCATACGCAAGTACTTATCTTTCGTGGGGGGCTGCTTCTCACTGGTTCTGCGTGGCCGTGTAGACTGTCTGGCGTGGGTCTCTTCCAGTGTGAAAAATGCTCCCCCCCGAGCATGGCTGCTTGCCTGCCTCACCGCTCACCCCTGAGTTGATCAGGCCTTAAGAGCTCAGGCTCTCACCAGGTCAGGTCTGGCAACTCCTCACTGCTTCCGAACCATCTCTCCCTCCCCTTGCCACTCAGTCCTGCTCCTCAACTCTGCCTTTGATGTTCAGGGCTCCCAGATTGCCATATATAATCGAATCATTTGTTTTTTCAGGTCTTTGTTGTAAGTAAGAGGGTCTACCAGAAGCATCTGACTACTCTGTCATCTTGGCCTGGCCTCCAGAAACCCCATTTTAAAGCTTACCTGTTCTAGGCATGGTGCTGTGGACAGGAGGGACAGAAAGAGGGCCCAGAGACCCTGAGGGAGAGACCTGAAAAATACCAGAAGCTTGTAAATGCCAATCCCACTCACTCCCTTTTTCAACCCTATTTCCTTTGCCCAGGATGCTGGGCCTCAGACTCAGCGGAGACCAGGGCATGGCCTCCTTGATGATTTCTGAGTGCCAAACCTACACTCCATCCTGCCTTTCATCAGAAGGCCTCTGGGCCAAGCACACACATCCAGCTCCTGTTCCGGTCCTTTCCCACAGCTCCCTGATGCTGTGACACCTGGCCCTCCCCTGTGTGAACACCCTGGCAATGTTTTGGGATTGCCAGGTTGAAGGCTGCTTTGCTCAAGGGCTCTGGTGCTAACAGGAGCAAGCTTCTTGGACCTCACTGTGCAGATACTGCTCATTGCCCACCTATTTTCCATTCCGCATTTCTTCTTTCCTATAAGAATCCTGGAGTCCATGGATGGTGCAAACTGTTAACACACTTGGCTGCTCACCGAAAGGTTGGCAGTTCGAGTCTGCCCAGAGGCACTTTGGAAGAAAGGCCTGGTGATCTACTTCTGAAAAATCAGCCATTGAAAACCCTATGGAGCATATTTCTACTCTGACACACATGGAGTCACCCTGAGTCAGAATCGACTCCACAGCTGCTCAGGGCGGCAGAGTGCCCAGCCCCCAGGATCCTGTCTCCAGCCTGATTGCTAACTGGGCCATAGACTCTACAGAGATAACTGGAGGAGGTGAATTTTGGTCTCTGAAACTTCACTTTGCCTCATGGTATTGTCAACTGAGATTATTTAGAGGGGTCATAAAATAATTGAGTGTAACCTCCCACACGGTTCAGGAATCTCCCTCTCAGTGTTACTGTCCTACAAGATGTAATTGACAGAATGGGCTTTGGGGCCTGGGCAGATCTGAGTGTGAGACCTGGCTCCAACACAAACTACCTGTAGGACTTTCGGCAAGTTACATAACCCATTAAGATTTGTCGTTCTCATCCATAAAATAGCAGGAATGCCTCCCTTCTGTTCTCTTTTAATTAAGATTTAATGAGATAATATTCATAACACTTCCAACCCAATGCCTGGCAAAGAGTTCCAGCTCATTAAGTGTTAGCTCCTTCCCTTCCTGAAGGAAGCTGCCTACTGTTGTATGTCTCTGGTTGTCATTAAACTCTTCATTTGTGCTGACACCTGCAGACTTTCTCTCCCCCTTATTCTTCTCAGGCTGACAGGGGAAGCTCTGATCAATGTTTTCAAAGGACAGTGAAAGGAAGTTCTCTAAGGGAGCCATGATTTGGTATCCTCCGCCCCCCTCAATACAGACAATTTGGAACATCCCATTTTAACAGGATGCAGCATGTACTCATTTTCTAATTTATCAGCAGTGATTCTCGATTCTTTCATTTATCTTTCTTTTTACAGTGAGCCTTCTTAGTAGGCTGGGGGCCCACAAAAGGTGGAGATGGGTGTGGGGCATCACTTGCGAGGGGTGGCAGGGTGGTAAGAGATGTTATCAATAATTTCCCTCCCTCTTCTTCCCTCCTATCCCTGCTGCCACACCCAAGAAGTTTGTTACTGTTTTTAAACAAATAAGAATATATTTAGTCACTGTGACCGGCTTCTGTTTCCTTCCGGAAACAGGCTATGCATGTGCAAGCATACATATACATTTATCTTGCCGTGTTTTTTATATAAATGGTAGCATTCTGCCCGCAAAGCTCTGCACTATTTTGCCTTTTTATTTAATTATATTTTCGCTTAACCAACCACATGTCTTGGAGATCATTTTATATCAGAAGCAGAAGAAACTATGTCCGACTCCCAAGGTGTGTGACACCTGAGAAGATAAGATCAGAACTTTTTTTCTCTTGAAGTCTTAGGTGAGGCAGCAAAGGGTCAAAGCTTAAGGCTGTTGAGAGGAAAGGAAGCAAAGAATAGGTCAGCTACTTGTTATTCTCCCTTGTGGCACACTGTCCTCTTCCTTCATGACACTATCACAATCCTAGTGTAGTTATTTATTTAATGCCATTCTCCTCCACTAGAGTGTAGCCTTCATGAGGGCAGGAGAATGCCTGTGTATCCCACTGCCTACTACAGTGCCTAGAACTTTGCAGGAGCTCAGTAAACGTGTTGAGTGAATGATGATAAGGAATGAGGCTACTTCATGGCTCCCTAACACTTCCCACCTCGTCTCTCCATGTTGGTGTCCTGGGTTGGGATTGAACCAAAGCAAGAACCTCTCTCCCGTCTGCTCTAAACAAAGCCCCATCTTTAAAGATTCCAAAGCTCTTACGACACGGCCCAATTTCCTTAACATGGCCTACACTGCCCTACATTTATCCAGCCCCTGCCTACCACTCCAGCCTCTGCATTCACTCTTTCACTGCCTGTGTTCCAGCCTTCTATGCTTCCTCCTCCCCACATCCTAGCCTCATGGCTTTTGTACATGTTGGTTCCTCTGCCTAAAATGTTCTTCCCTACACTCATTCTCTCCCACCCACAACTCAGCCCCTTTCCCCATTAATGTCTACTCACTCTGTTGGTGTCAGTTTAAACATTGTTCCTCAGAGAAGCCCCTGACTCCCCCAGACTAGGTTAGGTCATCCCAATACCTGTGCATCTTCTCTGAAGCCTTCATTACCAATAACCCCCAAAAAACAAAAAAACAAACTCGTTGCTATCAAGTCGATTCTGGCTCATAGCGACCCTATAGGACAGAGTAGAATTGCCCCATAGAGTTTCCAAGGAGCAGCTGGTGAATTTGAACTCCTGACCTTTGTGATTAGCAGCCAAGCTCTTAACCATTGTGCCACCAGGGCTCCTCATTACAAATAGCATTGTTTAACGTGTGTTTTCCCTAATAGACTGTAAGTAGGGACCATGTGTGTCTTGTACGCCATTGTACCCCTAGTGCAAAGCATATAGTGGCTGCTCGATAAATATTTACAAAAGGAATGAATGAATGGCTATCATGTTGTCTCTAACTTAAAATTTTCAGTGGTTTCTCACAGCTTTTAGGGTAATTTAGCATTCATGGCCTATCATGATCCAGCCCTTATCAACCTCTACAAATCTTAGTTCCAAACGCTTGGCTCCAGCCAGACTGAAATGCTCATGAGTCCCCAAATACATCATGTTGTTTTATAATTCCATGTCTTCTCACACTGTTCCCCCTGCCTGGTATGCTGTTCTTCTTGCAAACTCCTGATCTGTACAAATTAGGGGTCAGCCCGCCCTGGCCCCGTTCTGCTTTAGGTGTTTTTCATCGGTGTTCCCGTACCACTCCTACAGGGCTCCTCCCTGTCTGTTATCCCTCACATCTACTTTGTTGCAATTTCTTGACTTTCTGGCTCCTCCTCAATTTCTTCCCCTGATCCATTTCTTTTGCTCATCCCTCAAATGCTGGTGTTCCCCAGCGTTTAGACCTGAACTTTCCTTTTTTCTTCTTGTGTAAAAAGTCCATAGGTGAGCTCCTCCTCACCCAGGATTTTAACTACCCCACTTGTATGCTTGTGATGCCCCAACCCATATCTCCACCCTAGCCTTCTCTCCTGACCTCTAGACCATAATTCCAAGTGTCCATGGACATTCTCATCTGCGTGTCCCACAGGCCTCACTATGCATCATAATGATGTAAAGAACTCAAACCATCACCTTGTCCCACTCCCAAACCGGCTCCTCTTCAAGGTTGCTTGTTCCATAGACGGCATCACCATCGGCCCATCAGCCCAGCCTGAATGCTGAGAGTCATTCTAGATTATTCTCTTCCCTCTATCACTCTCCCTGCCCCCACCCAATTCCCAATTCATTAACCGAGACCAAATAATTTTCCCTTCTAATTATCTCTTGCATCTCTCCCATCCCCCCATCCTTACCACATAGCTTTGCTTCAGCCCTTGTTATTTCTTTTATGGATAACTGCAGTCATGCCCTAACTGATCTCTCTACAGGCAATCTTGTGCCTCTCAAAACCATCTTCCATGTGGCAGCCAGAGGGATAATTCTAAAAAGCAAATCTGATCATGTCAATTCCCTGCTTTAAAATCCTTCAGTGATTCCCCTAAGCCTTCAAGTTCCTTAGCACTGTACACAGTCCCTTCACAGTGGGGCCCCTGCTTCTCTGTCTAGCTTCATCTTTCAGCATTCCTCCTCACAGAACCACTTGCAGTTCCTTGGATGTGCCATACATTCTCCCTGCTCCATACTACTGTCCTCATACTTTCCCCTACTGAGAACTTCACTCCTTCTTGTCCCTTTAGACTCGGCTCAGGTGTTAATCATCTCCTTGGGGAAGCCTTCCCTAACCACCACCTCCCAAGACTGTTAGCTGCTGCTCCTAAGTTCTCCTGCAAAAATCATCATGTTGTTTATCATTTGTATATTTGTCTCTCTCCTCTGCTAGGCAGTGAAGTCGTCTGGGGCAGAAAACAAATATTACTTATCTTTGTATCCCCAGTCCTTGAAATAAAGCCCAATATATAGTAGATCCCAATAAATGTTTGGTGAAAGAATGAACAATGGTGTAGGTTTTATTAAACACTTATGTCCGACCCCTGACAAGGCTGAATTACACCATCCTTGAGTGTTGAAGGAGTCCCTAGGTGGTGCACTCAACTGCTAACCAAAATGTTGGCGGTTTAAGTACACCAGAGGTGCCTCAGAAGAAAGTCCTGGCAATCTACTTTCAAAAAACTAGCCACTGACAATCCTATGGAGCACAGTTCTATGATGACATACATGGGGTCACCATGGGTCAGAATAGACTCGAGGGCAATTGGTTTGGTTTTGGTTTTAAGTGTTGAAAGGCTCAGGGACAATACCACTATCCCCAACTCCTTTAACCTTCAACTTTCATCGTCCCCAGGGATGGAGAAGAACCATCTCTGCCCTGGATGAAGAAGAGATTTTTCTACTCCTCGGACTTCTATGTCTGCCTGGAATGCCAAATTATTCTCAGCCCTGACTTTCCCTTGAATGTTAGAAGCACACGTACAACTGCCTACTTGACATTTCCTCTTGGATGCCTAATAGCCATCTTCAACTTAATATAACCAGTCCCAAATTCTTGATTTTTTTTCCCTCAGATCTGCTCTTCCTGCAGTTTTCATCGTCTCAAAAAATGGCAATGCCTTCCAACAAGTTGTTCAGGCCAAATCCCTAAAGTCATTGTTGCCCATTTCTCATACTCCACATCTAAGCTATCAGCACATCTTGTTGGCTCGCCAGCTGAAATATATCCAGAATCCAGCCACTTCTCCTTACCACTACTGTGACCACCCTAGCCCAAGCCACCACCACTCTCAGCCTGATTATTGCCATTCTCTTAGCTAGACTCCCCACTTCCACAGACTTCCCACACTGCAGTCAATGTAGCCAGATCATGGTTCTCTGCTCTGAGCTCTCCAGTGGCTTCTCACCTTCCTCAAACTCAAAGCCCAGGCCCATTCAACGGCCTCCAAGATCTTGGGGAGTCTGGTCCCTTTTACTTCTCTAACTTCATCTCCTACTTCTCTCCCCCTTCTTCACTCTGCCCCAGTTACATTGGCTTCATTAAACATGTCAGGTCTTTTCACTTGCTAATCCCTCTGCCTGGAATACTCTTTCCCCCAGATATCCACGTATTTCATTTCCTTACAACATTTAGATTTCTGCTCAAATGTCACCTCATCAGAGAGGTCCTCTCTGACTTCCCTATTTAAAAAGCATCTCCCCACCATCACTTTCTATCCCCTTATGCTTCTTTATTCTTCCTTAAAAACAAAAAAACCAAACCCATTGCCATCAAGTTGATTCTGACACTATAGGACGGAGGGAACTGCCCCGTAGGGTTTCCAAGGAGCACAAGGTAGATTCAAACTGCCAACCTTTTGGTTAGCAGCTGAGCTTTTAACCACTGAGCCACCAGGGCTCCTTATTCTTCTTTATATTTTATATATATATATATAAAATATACAGTCTTTATTTGCTTATTAATTTTCTGCATGCCTCCCTCAACCCACCAGCCACCATCATCCCCCCAGTGGAGAAGACCCTTTACCCTCTAGGCACTGCTTCCCTCAGTGCTTGGCATGTAAGCAGGCTTCTAGCCACTCACCAGCCGGGAATTGTAGATGGATGATTTGATAGGTGTGGCCACAGGGCAGTTGATTCGCTTCTCCTTTTGGCGACGGTTGCAGAACCAGACCCTCACCACCTCCTTCTCCATGGACAACTGCTCTGCAATCATGGAGATCTCCTCCGAGCTGGGCTTTGGGTTCTACATGGAGAGGAGGGCCAGAGTATGGTCAGGAGGTAAAGGGTCCAGGAGTAGGGATAGGGGACAGGTGTTTCAAGGAAGCAGTATAGAACAATAGACAGATTAAAGGCTGCAGAGTCAGATAGACCTAGCATGGAATACTGGCTTTATCACCTACTTACTGTGTGTCCTTAGGAAACTTTCTTAACCTCTCTGAGTCTCAGTTTTATCCTCTGTGAAATGGGAATAATAATGCCTATCATGTAGGACTGTCGTGAGGATTAAATGAGAAAATGTGTATAAACTGGCAAAAATGGAGCCTGCCATGGAGCAGAGTCTCCATAAATGTAGATTCTGTTCTCCCACTCCTTCCTTCAGAAACTGTTCTGAAGAGAGGGGTCCACTGATGAGTTCTGTAGGACAGGCAGAAGCCCCAGAACCCATGCTCCCATCTGTGCTCTTTCCTCAGAGCGTGTGTCATTTCTTCCCATCCTCCTTCATCAACATAGGAGGTGATGAAGCTAAAACACATGGTCCCAAGACTGCAGGACATATATACAAAATACAAAGGTGTCACTCCTTTGTTCTGACTCCTCCCACCCAGTCTTTGATCTCAGCCCCCTCCCACCCTCCTGCACCTTTCCCTTAATCTTACTGCTCTGAGAAGCCTAATCAATAGGAAAAGCCAGCTCCTATCAGCACATTAGCAAGATGTGGCCACCAGGCCGTTCAGCCAGGTGCACTGAGGGACCTGCTGCCGGGGTAGAAGTCCTGAAGGCCTGGGGCCTGCAAAGTTGGACTAGGCCATGGGCCAGACCTTTAGGGACCTATGTGGTGGGGACGGAGGCTCTGGAGGCTGGTACCTAAGGGATCCTGACTAAAAACTCTTTAGACTACCTCTGTTTTCCCCTCTTCCTTCCCCCAGCTCCCACAGGGCTCATGTGTGGTATTCTTAGCTTCCACATACCGGTTCAAGAATAGGCTTTTCCTACAAGTTAAAAAAAAACTGTGTACAATATGATCACAAGTTTTTAAATGTGAATGGAAGAGAGGAATAAAAGTAAAAACATTCAGAGGGCACTAACAGTGCACTTGGAGCCCTGGTGGCGCCGTGGTTAAGAGCTCAGGCTGCTAACCAAAAGGTCAGCAGTTTGAATCCACCAGCTGCTCCTTGGAAACCCTATGGGGCAGTTCTACTCTGTCCTGTAGGTCGCTATGAGTCAGAATAGGCTTGACAGCCAGTTTGGTTTTTTTGTTTAATAGCACGTGGAGTGGTGGATATTTTTCATTCTGTTTCCCTCCTTGTATTTTTCAAATTGTCTACAATTTATTACCTTTGAATACAAAACATACTTCATAGAAAGTAAGGAATTTATATACAGTGCCCTGGCTTTGTTCCCTTTTCCTCAACTGAACCCTCTCCTGGGACCCTGTGTGTTATCTTTTAAAGATCTCAGTGAGAGGGACCAACTAAAAAAACCAAACTCGTTGCTGTCAAGTTGATTCCAACTCATAACAACCCTATAGGACAGAGTAGAAATGCCCTGTAGGGTTTTCAGGGAGCGGCTGGTGGATTTGAACTGCTGGCCTTTTGGTTAGCGGCCAAATGCTTAAGTGAGAGGGACAGTGGGCCACAAATAGATGTCAGGGCAAGAAGGGGAAAGAAGTTCCTGGAATCTAAGATGATGGATAGTCTATGACTCAATAGGCCACTTTCAGTGGCCTGGGTGCCTGGAGAGGGAGGGTGTTTTGTTTCCTGACCATTTCCCAGGGCAGGTGTAGGGTGGGGAAGGGCTGGTACCTCAGAGGCCTGTGCTGTGGTGGGCCCTTGGCCGTGTGCATGCCTGCTCGCCCACCTGTGGAAGGCGGCCTGCCCACTCCCACCCAAAGGAGGTGCTCACATCTTGAAATCTCTTTTCCAGAGTCAGGCGGATGTTGGTCTCAATGCTGGTCCGTTTCTTCCTCTTCCTCCCAAATACTTCAGTGAGGGTGGGGTAAGAGCTGGGGGTGCTCACCGAGGAGTCTGAAGGAGAGGACTCTGTAGGAAAGTGGAGTAGCAAAGAAAGTCAGAGAAGGGGACGAGAGGCCAGTTCAGGCCCTGTCTTGATGGACTTGAGGTCCAATAACCCTTCCCAGTGAGTTCTGCAGTGGCATTTCAGGACGAGCCCCCCTCCCCCAGCAGGGGAAGAGAACAGACTGAGAATCCTGCTTCTCCTTGTTGTTCTGGGCAAAGGTCCTCTATGATTCAACAGCAGCATCTCCAATATTTGCAGTCATGGTTCAGGGGTGCCCAGACATCAGTGGCATGTGGGGGTATGAGTGGGTACAGTAGGGCTCCTACAAGTAACACTTAGGAGTTTGTTTTTTTGTAAATATGCCTGGATGTGAATACCAAGTAAAATGTGAACTGGCATTCTGAGCTAAAATCCCTGGCATTTGGCAGTAGAATACTGATGCTAAAGCCATCTTCTCGCCATTGGAAGTGTTGCAGCTGAGGCTATATGAACAATAGGTGGGGATATTCCCTTAGGAAGGACCCAGGCAGCAGATGGGAATCATACTAGAGATGATCTCTAAGGTCCTTTCCTGAAGATTCTAAAATGCCATGATAATTTCTGTCACTTCAGTGCCTCAAGAAAAGCTGCTGAAGGGACAGCCTGTTGGTGGCAGCTTCCTTGCCCCTCTCCCATGTTTCCACGTGGAGGAACTTCCATGAGGGTAACACTCTTGCCTGCCCACACCACTCTTTCCTCCCTATCCCCAGTAACCATGAACCCACATGTGTCCATTGAATAGAGCCAAGCCCTGGGAATTGACTCTGCTCCTTCCCTCTCTACCTAGACCAGCAGTTCTCAACCAGGGGCTATTTTGCTTCCCTCCCTCCAAGAGACATTTGGCAATGTCTAGAGATATTTTTGTGTGTCTTAACTGGGGAGAGGGTGCTACTGGCATCTCGTGGGTAAAGGCCAGGGATGCTGCTAGACAGCCCCCACAACAAAGAATTATCCAGCCCAAAATGTCAATAGCGTTGAAGTTTACAAACTCTGATCTAGACCTATTTCAGATGGAATCTGGGTAGGTGTGTCTGCTCTGCAGACCCAAACTTTGTCTCTAGTGAGCTGTCCTAAGGTCTAGGCTGGGTGGATCTGAGGTAGGAATGGAACGGGGGGCAAGTCTTTTTGGCTACAGACCTAAAGCCTGTGTCCTCTAAAAAGCTTTATCAGCAATAAAGCTGATATTTTCATCTCCATTTGCTGTCTCCTGTGTCTTACCTCTCAGTTAGTTCCAGACTCAGGAGGAGAAGAAAGGGGTGTTATGTATCCATCCCGTAAGGCCTCCAAACAGCCATGTCACTAGCCCCTTCACTACAGAATCCTCCAGGGCTCCATAATCTCATTTCCTTGGGGCCTACCTGCATCATTCAGCCACTTCTCCAGCAGTGGTTTGAGCTTGCACATGTTCTTGAAGCTCAGATTGAGGGCCTCAAATCGTGAAATTGTAGTCTGGCTGAAGTCGTTGCCATATAGCTTTCCCATCGCCAGCCCCACATCTCCCTGTACAAGGGGATCAAGAGGGAGGAACATGAGAGACAGGCTCCTCCTCGTCTTTGCCCACATCTCCCACCTATCACACACCCAACCAAAACCATTAAGCACCCACTCACATTGCATCAGCTGTTTTCCAAGTCTTTTCCCTCTAAGATGGAGAACTGGTTTATTTCTCTCCCTAGACTCGAAGCTGGCCATGCCCATGTACCTGGCCCCCCGGCTCTTGTTTCTCTCCCCTCTCCCAGCACTATCCTCAGTTTTCCTGCAACTATGCCCTCACTCAGGGAACACAGGGACACTATGGGCTTGCCTCAAACACATCAAGCCTCAGGTTGCTCTCGATACCTGCACTTGGGAAGCCAAGTAACTTCTCACTGAACTCAATTTCTTCTAGCTTCTTCCCCAAAACCAAACCTGTGTGAATCCCAGCTTGATACGCCTCTGTTTGAACGTCTTGGCAAACTTCTCCAGCTCCTCAAGGTCACTAGGCTCATCTGCCCCTCCAGAGCTAGGCAGATGCTTGGGCACCGGGAGATGCTGGGATGATTCCAGATGCGATTCTAAAGAAGATCCTGGCAGCCCAGGGCGCCCAACAGCCTAATAGGAAACACATGCCAAGCCAATACCCAAATATTCAACAGGTCCAATGGCATTTTCTGCTTTTCCCTGCCAGTAGGCCCACTTAGAGGATGACAAATCTCTGGGTACATTTGATTCCTATTTTTCAATGACGTGAAAGTGGAAATTGGAGTTTCTATGAAGATTTAGCAAATAACTAGAATAGCTGAGATAGAAACAGCAGGAGTGTGGGATAGGGAGGTGGCCTTTCTGGGTTTTTCTATGACTCATTGTTTGACTCTGTGCAGGTAATTTCCTCCTTTAGTTTTGCACCATAAAAGGAGCTAGCAGAGTTGTTCACAGATTCCAAAAACAAAGACTGGAATAAGGAAAGGGTTGTTTGTCTTGCCTGTTCTTTTCCACAAAGCAGGGTAACTGAAGTGTTCAGCAAGTATTAACTGAAGATAACAGGACATCTGAGAACGTATTACACTAATAGAAGTTCCATACCATATCAAACTCTAATGACTGCCATTTTACTTTCAAAACCACTGTTTTCTTTCATGAGAGTGTTTTTTGTTTTTGTTAATCAAAGGTAGTCCAGTGCTATCTAACATGTACCTTAATCTCACTCATGGTTGTCAGGAGATATTCTTCCTTTAGCTGATTTTCACAGGAAAATGTACCCTTTAACCTGGAATCCATGGTGTGCCCGTTTGGGGTCAGGAATGAATCCAACTCTTAGAAACATCTGTCTTTCCACAAAGATGGAGTGGCGTCCAAGCCCAGGGGTCTAGCCATTGTGTCCAGCCCCGGGGCCACTTTACATGTGGATAACTTGGGCTGAGTGCCCCCTCTTCTTTCTCCTTCCCAGTGTACTCATTCCCTAGACTGGGGTTAATTTTCCACCCTCTCTCTTCCAGAGTATTCAGAGTTACCATTCAGTTAGGCATCCTCAGGATGAAGAAGGTAAAGGATCAGACAGAGAAGTTAAGCAAGTTTTTCCCCTATGAAGGGCCTTTTTGAACAGAATTGTTTGAAAGCGTCATGGATTCAAACCTGTTTTGGGTCCAAATCAGACGCTCAGAACAAAGCCTCAGTCCTCTTTGATCCCTCCTTTTAATTAGTTCATTTGTTCTTTCACTTGAGAAGAACATATTGAGTTCTCTGCTCGATCCTTTCCCATCCTCCACATCCATTCAGTTGTCAAATTATATTCATTCAACTTCTCCAGATACCTCCTGATTCACCCCCTCCTTTCTATATTATTGCCACAGCCCTAAGCCAGTCCCTTATTAACCGGCCCCAGGCTGATCTCAATAATCTTCTAAATGACCTCTCTGCTTCCAGTCTCTCCCTGCTCTAATATTATAAGATGTGAGAGTTAATCTTGAATACTCTGTAAGATCTCTTCCAACTCTAAATCTATGGTTATGACAGTCTGAGGAGAGCAGACAGTAGTAGATGGAAGAGCAGCTTAGGACTCTGGTGTCCCCATTTCTTTTAACCACTAGATGGCACCCTTGCCCTTCCAGGCGTCTTCAGTGCGCTTTCTAGCCCTCTCTTAAAGCCGTAGCCCTCAGGGAGCCAAGGGAACCTTACCACAGAGAGGCAGCATTATGATCTCTGCAGTCATTCCCTTCTATTCTGCATGTCCACCTGCATAGAGCCACCTCATACAGCTGTGCAGGTAGTTAACTGCACAGAGGCACCCAGCTGAGGGGGGGAGAGGCAGCTAAGACACAGCTCATGCTGCTATCGTCAAGCCGGCAACTAAGCCTGAGACTGCATCTGGCTAGAGGAAGAGGAGCCTTCCTTCTAATTGGCAAGAAGGTGCTGTGTGGAACCAGCTCAGCCCTGCAAACAGCCCCACTCCCAGACCTCAGTCAGCTTGACCCTCATGTGTACCCACTGCAGGAGGCATTCTAGAATGGTGAGCCTTAAGAGAGGTCCAGGGGGCATTAGTGGTTCAGGGCTAGAATTCTTGCTTTCCATACTAGAGACCCAGGTTTGATTCTGGGCCAATGCACCTCCTGTGCAGCCACCACCTGTCTGTCAGTGGAGGCTTGTGTGTTGCTATGATGCTGAACAGGTTTCAGTGGAGCTTCCAGACTAAGACAGACTAGGAAGAAGAGCCTGGTAATCGACTTCTGAAAAACTGGCCAATGAAAACCCTACGGATCATAACAGTCTGATTTGCAACTGATCACAGGGATGGCGCAGGACTGGGCAGTGTTTCCTTCTGCAGTGCCTGTCATCGTGAGTTGGGGCCAACTCGATGGCAGCGAACAACGGCTACAGGAGAGGTCCAGAGGTAAGAGACGTGACCTATGGCCTTGTGGTCTCAGGACGTTAAGCCTATGAGGGTCTGGTCTCCTTCTCGGGGCTGGAGAGCACCTAGCCAGAGCTGATGGTCACCTTGGCATACCTGGTAAGTTAGCTGACCTCTGGTTCTCAGAGTAGTGATGCTAGGGGCTGATCAGGGATGGAGCTGAGTGCCTGCAATACAAAGCAGGCTAGGCTGGGCATCAAAATCTCTGAGTTCTAATTGTGGCCCCACCACTGCTGTTGGATAAATTGTCTCCCCTGACTGGGGCCTGAATTTCCCCATGTGTCAACAGAGATAGTCCCCTGCCATTCCATCTGCCCAGAGGCTAACTGCCCTGCCAAGAGGCTGGGAGAAAGACCAATGAGCTCAACTCGAGAGAGGAGACCTTCCTAGAGGAAACAGGAAGAATGAGGTTGTTTACCTGGGACGTAAGGCCTGGCCCAGTCTGAGGGAGGAGGAGACCGCTTTGTTGCTGTGGAAAGGGGAGAAGATTTGACTGCAGACCTGGGTGGGAGGAGAGGGACAAAGGAACAAAAAAATAAAATCCAGGCCATCTGAAAGACATGCTCTACAACTTCTGAACCATGCTAACTGCCCCCACCCCCTGCTACCTAATCAGGTCCCTCAACCCACCTCGAGTCTTGTGGAGAGGCCTACACGGGCACTGCCAGGCATTGCCACACACAGGTGGAGGTGAATCAGACACAAGGATAAACAGAGATGTAAACAGCAGTCCCCAAACCAGTCCTTCTGCTTCCCGCCCGCCCACCTGGAAAGGTGCAAAGGAGGGTCCAGACAATCTACTCTGGGATCTGATAACCAGGGCTGAAGAAACCCAAGAGGGGAGGAGACACAGCGGGTGACTACTGAGAATTCAAGCTGGAACAGAGGATTTCAGTTTTTCCTGCAGGACAAGTAGCTGGGATGGCTGCAAAGGCCCAGCTGAATCTGCAAGGATGTCAGACCTGGGGGCTGGGGCCATACAGCTTCAAAGGGCAGTGGGCCATTGGCCAGAGACTCATGGCAGAACCAGGATGTTTTGTACATGGGAGCATGGGAGGAAGGGCTGAGAGAGAAGGGAAGCCTGGGCCCCAAGGGTCTGGAAGCTCCACCTGGTGGCATGGACTCTACGGGCTTATTACACTGCCTGAGGACCTCCTTCCCACTCCCTCTCCAGGAAAACTGTCCGAGAAGGCCATGGCAGGTGGCCTCCTCTTGGGAGGGACCCAAGGACCTCTCACTCTCACTGCAGGAATGGGGCCGTCAAACCACCAAAGCAGATAACAGGTGTGGGTCACCCCAACCACTCTGCACAGTGGAGAACCTTGGGGTATCTGCTGTCCCTAAGCTGTTTTGGGTCACTGATTTAGAAAACCTGCTGATGCTGACCTTTATGCTCCTCATTCTAAAAAAGGCAGGGCTTAAGTTTTCCTTATTAAAATAAATGAGCAAGAAAGAAAGTCAGGAGGCCTTAACACTAGTGGTAATTCTAACATTTATATTGCATTTGGAACTGTACAAAGTCTTTTCACATGCACTATTTCAAATAACCCTCAATAACCTTGGGAAGTAGAGTTTTACGATTATCCTGTTTTTATGGAGGAGGAAATGGAAGCTCAGAGTGGTTAGCTACATGTCCCAAGGTTACACGGCCACTAAATGATTTTCTTAACCAACCAGGTTTTTTGACTCCAATTCCTAAACTGTTTTTTTTCCCCCTTTGGATCATACTCTGACCTTCCAAGAATATATAAAATTAACCTTTATCTTCCCTTTCCTATCCCAGGAATATGAGGTGTATCAATTAGCCAAAATAAACACTTGAAAGGAAATTTCAATTATGTTGTCATTCGTCATCATCAACATCATATTCAGAATGCTTTGGAAACTAAAGGTGAGGACTCTAACTGGGCAGGTACTCAGGGAAGAAGGGAGAGTTGTGTTTTGTTTGAATTCTGGATTTCCAAAGCTTCTACCTGGGCTTTGAACAACAGACTTGAGAGATTTTATTTCCCCCATCACTTCTGGCCCTAGTGGGTGGAGATGGGAGACAGTGAGGCAGTGCAGGGTGGTGGCCAAGAGCATGGGCTTCCATCAGACTATTCTGGATCTTTCTAGTAGGTCACCAGAGGCATGATACGGTCGTATCACTTACCACCTAGGGTTATTCTGAGGGGTAAGTCAGGAAAATCACTCAGCAGAGCTCCTGACACCTCCTGCTCAGGAAGTGTTGGCTATTGGTATGAATATTCATATCTGTTTGTTCTCTGCTAGTGTACTTCCCTGCCAAAGAAAACCTGAAAACCCTCTCACAGCCTGTGGGTGGCACTGCCGCTCTACCCAGATAGAGTCACAGCGAGGCTTCCGGAGGTGAGTCTGAGTTCTCGTCCAGGAGGGATTTCCCAGGAATTAGAACTTATCTGGATTACATTTCCCAAGGAGCTTCTCCTTCCTCGTCCCCCCACTCCTCCTTTGCACCTTCAGTCTCAACTCTCCATGAAATTGAAGCAGGAGGCTGGGAGGGAAGGTAAAGAAGGGGACTAGGCCTGGAGGGGCCATTCCAGGGTCTCTTCCTCAGGCCCTGAGGTGCTAGTCTGAAAACCAGAGGGGTGAGTGACCCACTGTGCTCTGCACTTGGGTCCCCTCACCCAGCAAACAGCAGCTAGCCCTTCATTGACTTGCTCCATGTGGAACTCCCCAGGGCTCTTACTTTGCTGCCCAGGCTGGGTCTGAGAGAGCAGGAACTGGGATACAGACTGTAAGTGGCCGGGAACCAGCACCAGCTGTTGTAGTGGATGGAGGGAAGTCATGTCCTGCACGTGGGGAGATAAAGACATCATAGAATTGACTGGCTCAGGGTGCCGGCTCCATCTGCAGACCGCTGGCCTGACCCATGCATTAGGTTGTCTCCAGACTCAGTGTTTGAGGGCAGTGACCTTGCCTTAAGCTCCCGAGCACCCCAGTGTCAAGCACATAGTAGCTGCTCCATTAATCTTGGAGTTGTTACAGCTCCCACACTTGGCCAAGCAGTGCCTTGCAACATGTTGCAACTTAACCCTTGCCTTGTTATTTAATTTATGTGTGTATCAGACCTGTCCCCCAGCTAGACTGAAAATGCCTTGGGGGGCAGAGATTGGATATTACAGATCTCTCAAAAGCTTACCCTAGAAATGACATGCAATTCCAATTGCTCCCCCTGTCACCCCGTTTTTGTTTTGTTTTTTAACTTCAAGCCACTTGATGATGCTACAAGTCATTCCCTGGGGCTGAATCTTTCCTGGAATGGCACTGGCATGGGAAATGGGGGAAGGATCAAGGTATTAGCTCATAATAAAACCAATTTGTTTTAATAGAGAGTCCATTTCCCCTGGGTTTCTCCCACCAGCTCAGGAAATGGGAATACCAATCCCAATGCTTGGGGGACCTGGGAGTCCTCTGCGCAGCAGATCCCAGGACACTGTGCCCCCACTGGGCGGAGCTCAGCTCTGTGCACACAGAGAAGACAGAGTCAGCCCTTGCTGTACGAAGAAGTGAAGGAATGGTTGTACATTCCAGTCTTAAATATTTCCAGACAAGGGGTAGCTCTTTCTTCCCCAGCTGATCCACATCAAGAAGGGGGCTTGCCCCATGAACATGCTACTGTTTCAGGATGCCTCTTTTCTCCCCCATACCAGCTCTCCACTCTAGTTTGGCTTTGATGTAAAACCTGGGGGGAGGGAGAGTGGCCCAATGGGGACAGAAATGTTCGCAGGAGCTGTCACCATAGGCTTCCCCTGAATGTGGCCGGCAGACACCAGGAGCACAGCTGCTAGGCCCACTGTTTTGGCAACACTGGCTCTCTTTTCCCTCAGAGAGGCAGGGACTGCCTCTTCACATTCCTAGCCAAGCTTTACCTTTAAAAGGAGTATGCATTGTTCCGCTAACCCTACCCCAGGCCTCCTAAGCTCTTTCTAACATTCCCTGCAGGGGTTTCTTAGGACAAATACAGATTAGCTGAGTTCCAGGCTTTGAGGCCAAAAACTTTGCAGATGGCTTGAAATTAACTCACTGGCCCAATGAGAATATCAATTCCCTGAAACAGGCTGGTGCTTACCCCAGACATCTGGTTTCCAGACATCATGGTGGGTCCTTGCGACAGGTGGCATGGCCGATGGGAGAGGGTCTGCTGCAGGGAGTCACTGAGGTCCTCGGTTTTAATCTGCAAGCGGAGGCAGGAGGAAAGTGTCAGTCCTGGGCCTCCCAGAGCAGAGACAAATGGAAACTTAGAGAGAAGATCAGGGCAGGAGATGAGTGACGAGTTTGCCAGGAGAGTAAAGAGCTCAGTGCCTCCTGGACTGTGGCTGCACCTCCGACTGATTTCCCTGCCTGTGTGTGCCCTGCAGACCAGGCAGCGGGAAGGGACACATGTGAGCTAGCATTCCAGGCACCCATCTGCAGGATGAGGAACCTACTTAGAACTATGGCTTCTGAACACCATTCTGGGGGTTGTGCCGGTTCATGATGCAGGGCATGCTCTTCCGCAGTGAAGTGGGAAAAGTGAGAGTATTGGAGTGACCTTAAAAACAAAGCTTAATGTATTCTTTTCAATTCTGAGATTATGTTCTCTTTTTTAACCTTTGTGGGGATGGGGGGCAGGGAGAGGAGATGTTAGAATATGTTTGAGATGATAATGATCCTAAATGGTATTTTTTAAAACCCCCTACCTCACAAAGTAAAAACTTGGCAACCCTTTATTGCTCTCCCTCGAATTTTGCTTTTTATTTTCTGTGTCCACAAAGTCCCAGTCTGGGAACCACCAATCTGGAGGACTATCTTTCCTCCATTCCCCACTTGTTTACCACCCGTCTGTGTCCTCTGCATGCAAAGCTGCCTCTACAGCTCACCTGTGTGGCTTTGGTGACAGTCCTTGCCTGTCTCCCTACAGGTAGGGACATGCCTTCCTCACAGCCACCATTGCAGTTGTAGCCTGAGGGGCCCCTGGCAGTTTCCAAACTCTCTCCAGGCTCTACCACCCTTCAGTGATGGCACAAACCACCCACCTGTGGGTTTCCCAGGTGTCCAAGGGCAGGGCAGGAAGTACTGCTTGTGTCCACCCTTCCCCCTCCCTGAGAATGACTACCCTCTTGTAGCTTCTCAGGAAATCCATGGGGGAGGTGAAGCCAAGTGACTTTGAATCCCTATAATATGGCAAGGAGCCCAGGATCTAGGCCACACCTTATCAGAGATACTGGTGAGACCCTCTGGTAGAGACAAGTGGTTGTTTCCCTATCCAAATGGAAACTCTAGGCCATGGAGATTCTGGCTTAAACCACTTTCTTGGTCTACACGGGGAATGTCACTAACATCCTGGAATCTCTCTTGCCTGGATTAGTTTAACCCATTAGTTAACCTGTTTAAGTTCACACTAACAGCTTCGGGTTCAGACTAACAACTATAATTATGTTTAATCCCTGTGGAAAAAAGGTATTTTGGATCACTAAAGAAAGGATTCCTCTTGGTTAGACGGTTAGGAAGATCCCATTGAGTGACATTAGAGAGTGAGATGGGAGCTCATGTCCTAAATATGGTTCCTTGCACATAGTAGGAACCTACTGCATGTTAATTCAGTAAGACATCAACAGAACCTCTCTCTCCACAATCTCCAGTGAGGTACAGGGAGGAAAACATTGAGCAGGGAGCTAGGCTGACCTTGTTTCTGGTCCTAACTCTGCCTCTGACTTACTATGTAAGCTTAAGCAGTCACTAAGCTGCTGTGGGACTCAGTTTCCCCATCTGTTGTGTGATTCCATATGATTCTTTCCCCTTTCAGCTCTAAAATGGAATTACAATTGCTATGCCATAGTGCATTTGGAGACTTGGCTTGTCCAAGTTGCTGCAGTTTTCTTAGCTAAAGCAGATTGAAAGAGCACCAAGAAGCTCTGGCTGCACAGGAATTGGCAAGAAGATGCCTCTTCCAGGGACGGTCTTTACAAATCATTCCTCTCTTCTCCCACCCAAGGAGCAAAGGAGAGAGATTGGGAAGTAGCGCTGTGGGCAGAGAGTTAGACTTTTTGAAAACTCAAAAGGTATGGCCACTGGGGGAGGGGTGTCCATGAGAGCCTCACTCCCTACCACCCCCTCCAATATCCCTTCAGCTCTTCCCACCCAACTTGGTACCTCTAGCTAAGAAAATCTGCTGTCCTAGTTCTGCCCTAGAAATGAGAGTTCCCACATCCTAGATTCTAGGAAGAAATTTGGTAGCAGATTTCAAAAAACTAGAAGTAGATGATAAATGACTTATTTAAAAACAATAACTACCCCTACAACAACTTTAAGTGCCACTCTGAGAGGAGATTTTGACTTAGAAACCCTGGTGGCTTAGTGGTTAAGAGCTACGGCTGCTGACCAAAATGTTGGCAGTTCAAATCCACCAGGCGCTCCTTGAAAACTCTACGGGGCAGTTCTACTCTGTCCTATAGGGTCACTATGAGCTGGAATCGACTCGACGGCAACGGGGTTTTTTTTTTTTTTTAAGTCTTTTTAGCTAACTCCCTTCCCCCCACTCCCCTCTATATCCCCCTCTTGCCCCTGGGGATCCCCCATCTCAGAGAGGGAGAGGTGAGGCAAGATGGAGGAAAGGGGGCAGAGGGAGAACATGGAAAAGGGGAGCTGCAATCACACTGGTGGAGCCCCTGTAGGCAGGTGGCTTGGCCAGCCTCCAGCTCAGAGGAGAGTGGCAGGGCTCCTCATAGACTCATTATGAGCAATGAAGAGATAAGGAGGTGCAGCTATGACAGAGCTCGAAAACATGTGCTTTGCCTCCAACCTCAGTGCTATCTGTTGGAATCAGTGCCAGGTCTTCCTGCAACACTTAATTTCAGAAACCAGCACCATCATAAAAGAAAACTCATCCTTTCATCTGCTTCCTGGATCAATTGCCCTCCAAACTCTTTTGGGGGCACTCTGGACCTCCTAGTTCTGAAAACGAAGTGCCTGGTAGTAGAAAAGTCCTGTGGGTGTGAGTCGGGGGGTTTCTGATAACCTGTGCATGATTCTGCTGTTTTATTGCTTCACAGACCTTTTACTCTTTCATTTTTTTATAATTAATCATTCGTTGGGTGTGAGATGTTGACAATTACCCTAATAAGACAATCCTAAGCAAACCAAATGAAAGACAATAAAGGAGACTTCTTTCTCAATGACAAGTTCTAAAATCTCAGCTGAGTTGGGCTAGTGGATCTCAGAAAGGGCAGAGTTGGAATAAACTCCCATTGCCTATAGCAACATTTCTTGGACATGCTCAAGGGGCTAAGAAACTCAGAAATTATAAAATAAAGTCTATCCCAATTAAAACAAAAAAATCCCCTCTCACAGATGTTGAGTGGAAAAGGTTGGAGCCTTTCCAGGCAACTGGGTGTTGGCTGTGGACTTGGGAGATGAGATAGAGAAAATTCTGTTGGATCCCATTGACTTCTAATATGAGAACCGGAGGCAAATTGGATGAAAACCTGATTTCTCCTGTACTTGTGAAAACACAAGCAAACCCACAGCCTTCCTGCATTCAGGAAGATTGTCTCCGGGGTCTCTTTGGCAGCTCTTCTCACGCAAGTGGAATATTTCTCCAGGCCCTACATGAGATGGGATGGGAGCCACCACAGAGTGCTGAGCTCTGTCACAGCCATGATCATCCTGTCCACCTAATAGACAAGCTTTGTTGGTTCAGGATCTTCTCCACCCACTGAGCTGTGCAAAAGTGTTACACCAAGCCTTGGGCAGTGACCAGGGAGGTAAAAAGGTATCATGTGTGATTATCGTCTCTAATCCCAGTGAACTCCCTGACACCACCTACTTTAGAAAGCAGTAAATTCATTCTGGAAGGAGAGAGCCCCTTTGGAGGAGGTGGAAGCCCTTTAGACATTCCTCCTTGGCTTTACCTCCCAGCCAGGGGATGTAGGGGCAAGTGTTCACCATCCCATGTCAGAGGCCCAGGGCACTTCTGAGATGGTAAAGAGTTATACAGCAAGTCACTGACACGACTAAGACAAGGGAATGGTCTCCTGACCATTGTAGGTAATACAAAATGCCCCAGGGGTGGGGGAGAGAACAGACCATAGGTGATGGAAAAGGTGGTGTTCTGACTTGGATGTACACTTGGACCTCCTAACTAACCATCGGCTTTGGGGTCCTGGGATGGGGCATGGTGGGGCTGGGGTCCTCAGTCTTAGCCCCTTCCCCCATGCCATTTTCACATGGTCCTCTCAGGGGAAAACAGCCCAACACTAATGAATATATCACTGGCGATGGAAATGATCAAAGCTGTTGTCCCAGTTGCATAACTCATTTGTGGAAAGTGTTTCATAAACATTTCACAAGAAGGAGAATTTCAAAGCATGAACATCTCCCGACCTGCCTTCAAATAAAAGGCAAAGTTTTTTTTTTTGGTCTTTTTTCTCCCTCCTCTACACTTCTCCCTAGTAGTGAGGAAGAGTTTCTGTTTTGTAACTGATCTATAAAGGGTTGGCAAATATGTTGCTCATGAAAACACCCGGCAGATATATTCCAGGTGGTGGAATGGGGCAGGCAGGTAACTCATCTCAGGTGAACAGGGCTGAACATCCCGCAAGAGAGGGTGACTGTGTTTTTGCTTGGAGGATGCTCCTCCCCACAAGCCCAGGGCCACAGCCTCTTGGATGCATCTGGGAAGAGCCTAGGGAGGTGGCCTCATCCAGTCCCCGGTCTCCATTCAGACCTATGCTAAACCAGCCTAGATAACACCTTCACCCATGCAAACTGGGATCTTCTCCCTGACAGCATCAGACTTCTAGACAAAGGGGGAAAGGAAAAGAGGTGACATGAGACCCTCTAATAAACATATAACTCCATGGTGGGCTAGAGCCACCTGAAGTTGTTTTGTCCTAAAAAAAACCTTTCCAGAGAGGCATCCTTGTTTTTCCTGCTCACATCTACCCTGGAAATGCAACGTGCTTATCAGTCATGTTGTTAATGCTTTGGCTCCAGTTCTTAGGACACAGCTTTGCGAGTGCCAACACATGTGTGAAAAACCCCATCATTTTAAGCCCATAAACTTTTTCTTCTCCCTCTGGGGTATAAGTCCTTGAATTCCCTAGGTTAAAAAACCCTAGGAAGGGGGCTGTGCCCTCAGTGAGGACCCATCCCTCACAAAGTTTTATGATGCCCAGGTACAAAATGGCAGATTTG